TAACTTAACCAAGTCATGAACTAATGGTGCTCGACATTTTTTAAATAAAGCTTTTGCATTTTATATATAGAAGAGACTAGAATTATGAGAACATGTTAATGTTTGATGGTTATTTGAAAAATGAGAAACACATTGTTAGTTACATTGGATATTTGAATCATTAAATTAAATGTATTATTATTAGCTTTAGTTTTACGCCTTTTTTTTCTTTCTGAATGTCTTATAAATTGTTGTCGCGTTGATCCAGGAGAAACCCAAGGTTCCCAGGACATTGGAAGTCTAGATTCATTAGCCGCTTCTCCTCTAAGCGGCAAATTTCATCAATGACATGTGTCCTCGACCAAGCTTTACGAAGATAAAGATTTCATTCAGATACTTTATTTAATCATTATAATAAAGAGAATCATATATTTTTTATCAAAACAATTATTATTTTTCATTTTTATTTTTTTGCTATGGAGCGACAATGGGAACTCGAAGAGGCAAGCAAAGTATTATATGAATCGTTTACATAGACCTATAGTCTAAGAGCATGATTATAGATAGTAAATATGTTGAGATAAATATATAAATTTTATAATATTAATTATATCGGGATTGATAAAGAGAGAAAAAGAGAGATAGATGTATAATTACTCCACTAAATATGGGTAATATAAATCTTATATTTAGAAAACTAAATATAGATTTTGATTTAATTAAATAGATTTTATTGTTAAAAATTGATTATATTTATTTTTATTACTCACCTATAATCATGTTCTTACTGTCCACAAAAACCCTATGGAGGATGAGGTCGAACAAGCTACACGTGTACTGACACGTGTTACATCGACAGATAGAAGTATATAATCTGTTGTGCTATATATGAAGATATGACTATGTATTTTAATATAGGATCACAATGTTGTTAACGTGCTCGGTTGATGAATGTAGTCTTATGTACGTATGCATGGGACATTCTCTTTCTAATGTCTAGTGTTCGATCCATCATTTTCCACGTATAATACATTTCCCAAGAAGTAACGATAAATAATTAATGGCCTTTTTGAATGTGTAGACCATCTTTATCAGTATCACACAAAAAAATTGAATAAAAAAAATAATTAAACCATGGTTTGACGAGATTATGGGCGTGAGACGTATCACCACACTGAGACACATGATATGTATCACCATGCCACGTGCCAACTTTGATTGGTCAACTATGTTTTTTTTTTAAAATAGTAAATATAAATAATTAAAATAAAAGTTTATGA